CCAATTCCATCTTCTCCCCCTCAATTCTTTTCAATTTTTCTTTCAAGTACTCGTTTTCTCTTTCAACTAAATTTAACCTCTCGACAATAGGGTCGGTTGGAATTTCCGGTTCACATACCTCCTAGATAAAAATATCTACGTCAACTTGATGGGCATAATTTGTCATAAACACGAAATGCAACAAATAGTTTTAAAAGAGAATATACCACATCCGAATCATAACAAGGACGAGGGCCGACAGGGACGGATATCAAAACCATGGCACTATGTATAACAAATAACGTACGGATAAGATAATTATTATACGAGTAACTATATATCCAAATCACACAAACATCAATTTTTTATATAAAATTTTATGAACAAGAGGCTCACCACAAGGTGGTGCCGGCGACGGGACGGTGCGGGCGATCGACGGTGGTTACGACGGAGATTTAGAAGGCACTAAGTAAACCACACCTACATATGTATAACTAAGTGTTATTTTAACCTCAAATTGCATATAAATGAAATACTAGCACATATATATATTTCCTCCCAAATTACTAAACTCACAAATTAATAACTATATAAAGCATTGCAAGAGCTAATCTAGCAATGAAAGATGAAAGGACAAAGTTGCTAACCTTTGTGATCATTTGAATGGATGGGGGCCTTCAAATCTTGACAAATTTTGGGCAAAATGTGTGATGAGCTCGAGAGGAAGAGGGGAAGAACAGAGAGGAGAGGGGAAAGGGGAAGAACAGAGCGAGCTCGGGTGGACGAAGGGTTTATGTAAGACGACCTTTAGTACCGGTTCGTGCCAAGAACCGGTACTAAAGGTGCTAGAGGGGGCCCGGACTGACAACATCCTGCCACCACTCTCATTAGTACCGGTTCGTGGCACGAACCGGTGCTAAAGGTTAGCCACGAACCAGTACTAATGAGAGCGGCCCGGCTAGCCGTTGGAACCGGCACTAATGTATACATTTGTGCCGGCTCAAATACAAACCGGCACTAATGTGCTTCACGTTTGACCCTTTTTTTACTAGTGCTGGTAGACTATGCCATGTGTAGTCGAAACCACCTGATAGGTGATCGAGGACGTGTGGGCGAAAGTCACATTTACCAGCCTCAGAAATTGCCACAAAATCCAATTCGTGTTCTCGCACACAATCACCGATGTGTTTATGTTTAGCCAAGTCTGAGAGACCTCTGCTATTCCAAAACATGCCTCTCATGAGAAAACTCGAATGGGTGTGGAACTTTTCGCCTTCTTGGGCGGTTTTTGTTTCTTTTTAGAGGAGTGCGATTTAGATTTCCGTGAAGACACTGTGAAGTCACAAAACATTGACCCAGGTCTTGCATCATCTAAACCCACCTCGGTAACCTCATCAACTAAGTGGGAGATTAGCGGACCATCATATTTGGCATCCGCTTCATCATCGTCCTCGGTTTCGGGGTTTGGTAGGGCGTTATTACACTTCGGAGAAACCCTTAAACGGTCAATCTCCAAGCTTTATTGATTAATGGAGATGTTTATGGTTACACGAATTGGGTCATGATGGTGACCCAACCACACATGACGACTAATATCCGAAGGCTTCTCCAACGTTTTTCGCCATCCAATGTGGTCCCCAAACATCACCGGACCAGTTCACATGTCCGAATTTCTGCATATCAAAAGCAAACCTTGGGAAGATTGCGGCGTCCCAACATCCGTCCGGCCAATTAAAAGCCATCACGTGCACTCTCTTCTCACCGTCCGAATTGCGGGAGGCCATTGCTGTCTTTTTTTCATCATTTTGGAGAAGGCATCCATGAAGTATGGCGGAAGGCTGTGAAAGCTCATCGGGCGGAAGCCGCTATGTTTCACATTTTTTTTCTTCAAGTGCTTGGCGGATGCTGAATGCACAAGTATCATAGTGAGTTGACGGAAGTCTTCTTCAAGTGCTTGGCGGAAGCAACTAATCCATGGATTAGTAGCACATCGAGTCACACATGTTTGGTGGAAGCCACTAAATCCAGTAAAATGTGACCGTTGCTAGTAGCAACTATTTGACAGAAGACTATTGCCGCTGCTATTTTTCAGTTAATAGGGACGAAAATTTGAGGTGCAAGGTTGGATGGGGCTGTTTTCACTAATTTGATAATGTATGAAAACTTTAGCACAAAATGAACTCTTCAGAAATTTATTTCATGATCTGAACCTTCTGGTAACGCCACGTCTTGTGATGTTTCTGCTCTATTTGGAAATGTCAAACTAGCCTACGGTGCTCCCCTTCATAGATAAGTGGCAATGTGAACAGATTGCTGGAAACACAACTAACAATGATGTTTCATATTTGGACAGCAAAGCCACACATGATGGCGTTTCCAGCAACGCCACACACGATGGCGTTCCTGCCCTGCCACATAGCGTCTCGACCAGGCCATCAACGCGGGTGGTTTTGACGGTTTCAAATAGGGCAACACCACCACAAGCCGTGGTGTTTCTGAAAAAGGTCAGATTGTGAAATAATTTTGTGTGACATTCATTTTGTGCTAAAGTTCCTTCACAAGGTTAGATGAACGGCTCTCGTATCCGTGTCTGTGGGCGGGTCCGCGAACATTTGTGCTATCCGTTTTGAGGGATTGCGTTTGAGATGTCCTAAGAGCATCTACAGTCGGATATGTCAAATATGGCTCGTCAAACGCCCACGGACGCACCCGGGCGCGTCCGCGTTCTGTATTTATATTTTTAATGAAACAGAACAAAATTTCGCCAATTTAAAAAATCTTCAAGAATGGGAAAATATCCTAAAATTTAAAAATTGTTTGTGACTTAAAAAAAAATTAATTCATTCATAAAAAGTTCTTTTTTGCAATTTTTAATTCATAAAATGTTCTCCGATTCAAAAAATGGTCATGCATTACAAAGAATGTTCGTTAAATAAAAAAATACGTTAAATAAAAAAATTGTGGATTTCAAAAATTGTTTCGCCAATTTCCAAAACAATGTTTGTCCATTATAGGAATGTTCGCCGATTCAAGAAAATTGTTTAAAAAATGGTCACAATTTTAAAAAATGTTTGCAAATATTATAAAATGTTCATGAATTCATGAAATGTTCAAACATTTGTAAAAGTGTTATTGAATTTGAAAAATGTTCACGAGTTTAAAAAAATTCTCATGATTCCACGAAATTCAGAGTGATAGTGTATCACGGTGATGCAACAAAATCTGATCATGATCATTGGAGATTATGAAAAAAATTCTTCCATTGGAACGCACGGGCTCTTTTGCAAGTATAATATAAAATTTGGAGGGACCTCTTAGTTGTTGCTCGCTGCGACATTCTGTCGGTCATGTGCATACAGAGTCCCCCCCCCCCCACCCCCGACTGGGCCGACCAGTGTAGCGAGCGCACACTGTTTTTTTTTCGATTTTCTAGAAAATACATGATATATACTATTTGTATAAAGAGAATAATATTTCAAAATATTAATTTGTCTAGAAAAAGTGAACATTTAAAAAAATATTGAGAATATTGTATGAAAAACGAGTATATCGCCACATTTTGGCATCAAATGTGTAGCCATAGGCTTTTGAATTTTCTGCATGTGCCGTAGGGGACAAGCTAGAAAAAACCTCTCAATAAAGTTTCAGGACGACCCAAAAAATAAACAGAAATTTAAGGACACCCTTGGGAAAAAAAATCAAGGACTTGATAGCGTCTCCAATACATTTGATATATTTATTTCATCACGCAAAAATTTGTGGGTCTTGTCCAGTAGACTACCTAAATCTTCTACGTTGCTCCTGCGCTCCACCAAATCTCCATGTTTCATCACATAATGATTCAAATATTTACGATCATGCATCGTACAATTCCACACATGATATTTGAAATGCAAATTCAAACTTGAGCTTAAAATAGATAGATCTATACAACACATACATAACAAGTACATAACAGCTAACATAGATAGGTCTAAACGACACAAACAACTTGATGATAATAACCACTGAAATCATTGTTTTCGGCGGAGGACGAGGAGGAAATCTCCACTTAGACCATACGCTTGACAATCCCGGCCTCTAGCCTAGGGAAAGGCCATATTCCGTCGCCATAGGTCTCGCCCTGCTCGCAGCCGAGCGCCATGGCTGTCGTGGAACTGAACTACGACCCGTGCCGTGCGGTTAGTCCCCAGCTGCGCACCACACTCTGTGGATGCCCATGGCTTGACGCACGCGCTGGTCCGGTGCCCTCACTCATATTCCTCCGACGAGCCATTGTGCGCTCGCAAACGGCGGCGATTGCAATAAGGACGGCAAGAGCTTAGATGATTTTTATTTTACAACAAAGGACATGTTACAATTGCAAGAAGGCTCTTGTTGCAGGATGTTTCTACCACAAGATTCATATTCAATTAGCGTGTTTGCAGCTCGGGCGGCTTGTGACCCGGCCGATCTTTGATCAGCCAGCCGACGAGGACCATCAAGGTTCAAGATGTACTACTCTCTCCGTCTAGGTGAGTAAGTCATCTTAAGCTGTGCATCGTGACCAAGGAGGAGGGGGAAACGAGAAATATTAATGTTTATTTGCTAACTAATAGTATTGCATGCAATGAACTAACCACTGCATGTCATGTTTGATAGTCTCAGGTCATTAAAAGCATGCACACCTTCATCTTTTATTGGTTGATATGTCAAGAAACAAGAAATGAGGTAGAAGTTAATGCACCGCGCCTACGTTTTTTGAGATTATTTGGTTTTCGTAAGATGACTTACACACCTAGACGGAGGGAGTACTGAAATATGAACTTTTAATTTGAGGTCAACAGACTCCGAGTAACAATATGGTTGACTGTCCAGCCTAGCCCAACCAATCGCATGGAACTTGGACGCCAAGTTCCCGGTGACGATACGAACCGGCGCGCACGAACCCGTGGCCCGAAGCCGGGCGTGCTGTGCGTATAAATAGGCCACCGGCACCCGCGGTCTCGACGCACACAACCCACGAAGCAAACCGAGCGAAGATGCGGCGCGAGGGACGGCAGCGGGGGTGGGTGCGCGTGTACGACCGCGCCCTGGTCGACCCGGAGGGCAAGCGCCCCGCCGTGCGCGCCGTGGACGGCCCGGCGGTGGCCAACGGCGGCTTCATCAGGGCTTCCCGGAGGCCGACGAACCAGTCGAAGCCCGGCGGCCTCCGCGCGCTCGGCAGGGACGCCCTCGCGCAAGCGGAGGAGGAGGAGCCGGAGCCGGAGCCGCAGCTCCATCCGCCGCTGGGCGCCGGGTACTCCGGGTACTACTGCACGACGACGTGCCAGTCGCCGTTCAAGTTCGAGGCCGTGCCGTATCAATGGAGGTACGACGCCTTCGTGCCCGAGGAGGTGCAGGCTCCTCGTCCGCCGCCGGCGGCGGCGCGTTTCGGGGGAACAACCAGTAGACTGCCTTGAATGTCAGGAGTTCTCAGCATTTTTATTGATTTAGTTTCTACTCCCTTCGTTTCTAAATATAAGACTTTTTAGAGATTTCAATATGGACTACATACGGATGTATATAGACATATTTTAGAGTGTAGATTTACTCATTTTGTTCCGTAGGTAGTCCATGTTGGAATATCTAAAAGGGCTTATATTTAGGAGCGGGGGGAGTACACAATTTTGGGGCATCCAAACTTGGAAAGTTCCATCATTCAAGTTAAATTGGGACAATCCATTCATTAATTGCAACAAAAAAGATTGGTATTGTTTTTCCAATTTTTATTCATGTTCCTAGAAATATAGGTTTAATGATTGTTTTGCAATTTTCCTATTCGTATGCATGATTTTTCTTTGTGATTGCTCACGCTGGTGCTTTTTGCATTAAGATCATTAATGACAATTACGATGGTGGTGATTTTTACCATCAATTCCTTTTTTTTTCACTTCTCTCACACCCATGCTAGGTTGATATACATTTTCAGCAGTAATGTTGATGTAGCTCCAATCTCATGATACAATCATTGCATTTCCTACAAGCCTATCTCATGCCGGTAGATGGGCCGATGCATTCATGAGATCACCGCTATGCTTAACTAGCTTTGTTCAACTTCTCCCGTGAGATCAAATTACTTTGATGTAATTCTCACAACACTTTGTGCCCTTTCCTTCTTGCCGAAGCAATGTTTCCTCATGAGGAAGATGCTAATGATGAGCAACATTGCTTGGGACACGCTGAAAATTGTAGAGGACACGAGTGGTGTCCCTTCAAATGCTTGTAGCTTCTAATATGTACTTATTCAACCTTAGTGATGGTATTTATAGCAGAGCTAAAATTTCAACAACTCTGCTCTAAGTGCATAGGAGGGTCTGTTTATGGATGTGATCATTTAGCAACGGAAATGCTGCTGCTAAGAGGTCATTAAGAGTTGTTAATGCATTTAACTTTTTGTTCTTGTTGTGCATTTAATTTTGGTGGTAAAGATTTTGTGATCCATCTCCATGAAGCCTTGAGAAGGCTGCGATCTGCCATCGTGCTCTTCTCCGTTGCCGACGAGACCTTCCGATGCATCCGGTCACCTTTGTTCCCGGCATTATATTCAGGAAGAAGCTTTCTTCACATTTTAGTTTGCCTGACCAGTCCTAGAAGCATCCAATCTCGCCTCCGACGACTTTGCCGGAACACCTTCCACTGTTTGCATATGCTCGACAATATAGATGCAGGTAATCTGTAGAAAATCATGCTTTTCAATCGCTTTCATATCGTTTTCGTTTTTCTATCGCGGGTGAATCCATATAAGGATATAACTAACTCGAGGAAGCACCGATGTTGATTACAGATTTTTGCCTTGCGACACGTTATCATGGTGATCAATTCCTTCCGTGGGTCGATTGAAATAACCGATTTTGGTGTATTAATTCAAGACAGGTCATTTTCCTCAAGGTCGTAAAGATCGAGCCTAACATTCTTACAGAATATATAGCTTGCCAATTAAAAAGTAGAGTTTTAGCCTCTCAGAATATATAGCCTCTCCCTCGACATTTTGGAATTTCTGCTATTGACACAATTGTCCCTACTAACATTGCGGATTGGATTGAGCATAGATTTGTTGTCTTGGGTACACTTAAGCAACACCTGGTGCGTGCTCAACAACGCATTAAGTCTCAAGCAGATAAGAAGAGAAATGAGCGCAACTTTGTTGTTGGAGATCAAGTTTTTCCGAAACTTCAGCCGTATGTGCAGTCGTCAGTTGTCAGGGGAGCCAATCATAAATTATCCTTCAAGTACTATGGACCCTATCTGGTCACAGAAAAGATTGGCAACCTGGCTTACCGGTTGGATCTTCCAGCAAGCAGCCGCATACACCCAGCACTCCATGTTTCTCAGCTCAAACAATGTGTTTTTCCTCCGGGCCAGGTTCAAAAAACTCTTCCTGCTTCTGATGCCCTTATGCAGGTACCTGTCCGAGTTCTGCAACGGCGGGTGCGGCACCGTGGCCATCCTACCATTCCACGGGCACTCATCCACCGGAGCGGCACGGATGCTTCAGCTGCTACCTGGGAGGACTTGGATTCTTTGCGATAATCTTAAAACCACAAGCATGTCTTAAAAAGACGGCAATCTGAAACAACAACACATGCATGAGTTTGCAGAAGTTCAGAGGCTACAAGGTGTGCTCTGCCAGCCTTCCCCATTCAGGATACTCTGTTATAACGGTGCAAATGAATCAAACCTGGTTTCGAAGAGTAGCCGACACCACGGCTGACAAAGAACTTATAACACAGTTGATACTGCATTGCATACGGGTCGACGCATCACAAGGTATGATCCGTCACGCACCCAACATTTTCAAATCCAGTTAAATCAAATTGGAACAATTGCGTCCGGCCATGGCTATCTTCCATTCATGTGAAATGTATAGCAAATATGTCAATGGTGAACACTCATTGGAAGACTGTGCTGAAGACAAAGTTAGTGTGATCGTGCAGGTTGTTCAAAATATGATGTTATATGCTACTCATGCACTAGGTGGTACATCAAAAAACAGAGGGTTTTGCAGTCAGATAAGCTGCATGAAAGCACATGAATAATTCTGCACGAGTTCAGAGGTTACAAGGTGCATTCTGCCGGCCTTCCTGGCAGATCATTCAGGATACTCTGTTAACTGTACAAGCGAAGACAACTCTTTTTTAAACAGTACACCTAAATGGCAGACAAAGAACTTATATTAACACACTGTATCTTTGGAGTGCTGTGTTGAAGAATTTTTTTAGTGTGATCATGCTGATTGTTCAAAATATGACTATCTGCTACTAGCCTATTACTCATGCGCTCGGCGATACATCAAAAGACAGAGGGCTTTGCAAGCAGATAAGATGAAAAAATTAACAATGCTAATTAAAAGTTCTAGGTAGACACCTTTAACAGTATGAACAACAAAGCCATTTTCAAAATAGGAGCCCAGCATGGCTAACAAGATGTTATACGACACATCGTATCTTGACAGTTGATAGTCCTTGCATACGTATCAACATGTCACAAGGTATGATCGGTCATGCATCCAAAACTCAATAGTGGTACATTTGCAGCCATGGCTATCTTTCAGTCATGCGAAATATAGTTCTACAAATATGCCTATTTGTGAATATTCGTTGGAGGACTGTACTGAAGACAGTGTTAGTGTCATCATGCAGGTCGGTCAAAATGTGATACTGTTATTCTAATGATGTGCTCGGTCATACGTAAGGCTAGCCAGCTGTGCACATAAAAAGACAGAGGGCCTTGCAATCAGATAAGATGAAAAACTAACAATGCAGATTAAAGATTCCAGGTAGACACATTTAACAGTATGAACAACAAAGCCATTTTTCACAAGAGGAGACTCTTGACAGCTCACACTTGGTCCTTGAAAACAGATCAACACATCACAAAGTATGATCAATCACGTGCCCAAAATTTTCAAATCAAGAGGTACATTTGCAGCCATGACTATCTTTCATTCATGTCATATATAGTTTTACATATATGTCTATTGTGAATGTGCGCACAACTGTGCTGAAGACAGTTTTAGTGTTACCATGCAGGTTGTTCACAATATGATACTGTAAGCTACTCACGTGCTCGCTGATACGTAACACTAGCCAACAACCCAGCAGGGCACATCAAAAGACATAGAAGGCTTTGCAATCAGATAAGATGATAAAACTAACAATACATATTAAGATTTCTATCAGCTAAATCTCAAAATAGCTCAGTTTACCACCGTTCCCGTTGTCTGCCGTCAGGAAATAAAGGAACAGACGAGTCGTCGTCGGCATCATTGGTTGTATTACTCTTTGACTTAGGTACCTCGATTTCTTGTGGACCTGAGTCATCACCATCTCCGAAGTCCGGTGGCGAGCCATCACTCTCGCCAACCCAGCCATCACCCCAGCGGTAGCCGCTGTTGTCAGATTTGCCACCAAGTTCCCCAATCAAATCTTCCATGTCCGAAAAATCATCGTCTTCATCATCTTCCATGTCACTTCCTTCATTATACCCTTGCGCAGCGCCATTGGGCCCCTCTGTCTCTTCACCAGTCCTAGGCCCACCACGCCGAGGGAAGCGTGGAACTGCAACAAGAGCCCTCATCTTCTCCTTAAGCAACACCAGATGGCTCTTCTCGATCAGCTGCGAGTTCTTGTACGCCTCACGGAGGAACACCGAGTCCCTATCTCCCTTGAGTGACACATAGAACATGTCAGGGTGCCGGATGAGCATTCCCCGCAGAGACTGCGAGAACCGGAACTCCTCCCGGAAGTGTGTCAGGTGGTCAACCAGGGTGCGCTTCTCAAGTGTCAGGCTTAGAATTTCATGAACCACCCCACAGGCATGCTTCTCCTTCTCAGGGGACCCCGACGGCAGGTGCGAGAAGTCGGCGTACGGCGAAATGTACGGCATTTCCCTGAATTTCTCAATCCTCCGCGCCTCTCCCCTCGACACCTTCAGGCCCTTGGGCAGCTTCACGCGGTTGAACCTGAGCGGCCGGTCGATGATAAGATTCCTCTCCTCGGCCTCCCTGGCCCGATTCTCCTCCTCCGCCATCTCGGCGGCCGACACGGCCAGGTCGGGGTCCCATTCCGTGAGCTCCAGCGCGGGGCCTCTGTCCATCCTGACGACGCGGAAGTACTGCGGGTACCTGAGGCAGATGGTGTCGTGGAAGTTGGAGGGCAGGCCGAGGTCGTTCTTGAGGTGCGCGATCCGCTCGATGAGGATGCGGCGGTCGAGCGACATCATGAGCAGCTTGCGGAGCTTGGCGACGGCGAGGCCCTCGGACTCGTTGCGGAGGTAGAGCTCGTCGAGGTAGAGGCGCTCGGCGGCGGGGGTGAGGCGGAACCGCAGCGAGTAGACGCCCTCCTCCACGATCTCGAAGACGCCCGGGAAGCGCTTGAGGAGCGCGATGAGGCGGCGCTTGCGGGTGAGCCCGAGGTCGCGGCGGAAGCGGCCGAGGTCCCGCAGGCTCATGACGCGGTCCGGGTGGGAGACGAGGATGTTGCGCAGCTTGAGGACCAGCTTCAGCTTCTTGTCCCGCTGGATCACGTTGTCGAAAGGCACCTCCTTTCGGCGCTTCACGGCGGCCGCCTGCGCCACGACGGCCAGCCGGGGCCGGGTGCGCAGCGGCGGCGGGGCGGCGGCCAGCGGGTGGAGCGGGAGGGAGGCGCCGAGGAATAGGGATTTGGGGGG